CTCCCACAATCTCTACAAAGATGCTGTTGTGTGAAACCCACCATTTTTTAACTGGATGAAGATGTCATTTTTAACGTTTAGTGTTAGCATCCCCTAATTTTAAATAAGTTGGTGGTTTTTTTATGCAAGCGGATTAGAGGTTAGTGAAGCAACATTTTGATTAGTTGCGGCCACCACTGTTCTAATGTAATTTCCTACGGTAACTTTTGCACCAGACAGTGTTTACTTATGCTAACTGTTGTTAACACAAAAGACTATGTTGGAAAATTAACTGCATTCTGTAGCAGCACATTCAGTGTGAAACACAAATTGTAAAACTGAACAAAAACTAAAAGTTTTATCGCAAATTTTTTGCAATGGGTTGTTAAAGTATTACATTTAGGAGCCATGGACAATTAAACAAAGCATTTTATGTGGCCCTTTATGTGAGACGAGCCTGTTGGTATCTATTCATCTGATAAAAGTTTTGTCAGAAATGGCAGAAATGGCAACATTTTTGCCCACCAATGGAACAAAAACCGTGTGTTAGATAAAATTTAAACTGCTAATTGCAGAAAACATTATTATTAAGTTGAAAATGAAAAAAAAAAACAAGAYGTCTTTTTACCTGTCTCTGCTTCTGCGGGAGGGAAATGTGGCGTTGCATCCGTCCACTGTGCACATGTGCGTCTCCTTCAAGTGGACATTTTGGTAGTGCATCTTGACACAATAGGGGTTTTTAAAGGTCTTACTGCAGATCTCACAGTGGTGTGGAAGGTCTGTGTCAGAGTCGGGCTGGGACAGCTCATTGTCCCCATAGTCATCTGCACGTCCATCGTGTCCTCCCCTTTCTATGAGCTGAAAGCCACTCCCATTGGTCAACTTGTGATCCCCTTCATTCCATTTAAGCTCTGAGGTTTTGTCAGATAGGTGCAGTGAGGTCACGTGCTCCCTGTCTGCCATCTCTTTACTGCCATTGGTTTCTTGACAAAGTGAGTTGGTATCACAGTGGTTTTCTAATGACCTGGTTTCTAATGTGGAGGATGTACAGGTGATGACCCCAGTATCTGGATGCTTTGACCCTTCATGCTTGTCTTCTCTCTCTGCTGAGTGTCGGTTTAGAGTTTGGTCATTCAGATGATTGGTGCTGCACCTTTCCTTTTCTCTAACATTATAAGCTTCTCTTGTCACCTTCTCCTCAGATTGTCTTGGACACTTGTGCTCATCTCCTTGGCTTCCATTATAGACGTCTTTGTCCTCATCCCGTAAAAGAACCTCATCCTCAGAGCTACTCTCCATATCTATCTGCTCATCTTGCTCAACCATCTCTTTCTCAATTTTTATTGGCATACTTGACTTCCGAGACTTTTTCTTTGGTATAGGGTCTGTCATACAGAGTTTGGGTGCCGTGATGGGTTTAACAGGTACAGAAGATGATAAAATGGGTAAAGAGGGGAGTGTTCCTGGGGTGTTGGCGAGTTCTGCTGGGGTGACCAGGCTCCGATAGAAAGGCAAGACTGGCTGTACTGTTTTCAAGTTAGGAAAGAGGATGCCACTCTGGCCAATACTGGGGAATGAGCTGCTGTGAATCTTAGGGCTACTGTCTACATGACTTACCATGTAGCTGGACACCGACTTGTGACTTTCTGTAGAGCAGATGGACATCTGATTGCCGTATTCAGCCCTCTTCTCTCCTTGAGAATTCTCATCAGCAGACAAGCTGCCTCGCAGGTCTTTGTCTCGATTGTTTCGGTTCATGGGCATGTGCAGTCTAGGATTGGGGTTAGCACTGTGGCGATTGCGACTCCTGAGTGAGCTGAACACCATATTGCAGCCCTCGATTGTACACTTGTGCTTAATCTTCAGATGCACTGCATTGTAATGGATTTTTAGCGTACCTTTGTCATAAAACGTCTTCTCGCAAGCATTGCAAAATACACGGCCCTTCTTCAGAGAGCCTCCACCCACTGAGGCCCCTCCACTGCCGCTTCCGTTTCTGTCGAGAGACCTCAACTTTCCGTCAGGTGACATCTGTGGAACATCAGAGCTCATGGACGGTGTACACGGTGTGGATGGTCCATCTGAATAGTTGTCACTGGCAGAGAAGTCTTCAGCCTCAAGTTTTGCACTTGTGGAGAGGTTATCCATCGTCTTTTCTCTACTTTGGTCTAAATCGTTAGTGAATGAAATGGACCTGGAACCTAAAAGGCTGCCCTCTGAGGAATGTGAAAAAAGGAAAGGGTCGTCGGCACCAAGATGGCTCCTCCCTTGATCAGCTGTCCTTTGACTGTGCTGCTCCAACAAGGCACCGCACGGCTGCTGGTGCTGTTGACGTTGCTGGTGCTGCTGCTGCAATGGCGATTCTAAATACGGTGCCGGCGCAGAGCCTAACAGCTGGAATGGAAGCATAAAGGCCATGCTGTTGATGAAGTTCTCAAAGTGGTGCATGCTGTTGCCGCTCATCTTCTCAACTTTGGATGGCGAGAGGTTGGCAGCAGTGCGAGGCGTGTTGCGCTCAATGAAGGTGCGGATGTCCGAGTTGGTCCGGGTGCTGGGAACCAACACGGCCTGGCCCTCTTTGTCCTGCAGAGCCATGAGTTCAACGATGGATTTGGTTTCACCAAAACGCAGAAATTGCTGCAGTGTGACAATCTCCTCCTCAAAGGTCATAATGGCCCACCGGTCCAACACCTTCCCGGCAATATCCTGCGAAACAGTGCAGAAAAAGACAGAATATGGGACAGGAAGGAGGAAAGAAAAAAAATAGGAGAGGAATTAATTTGTCAGAATTAAAAGTTTATGCTGAATAGGCAGAGTATAACAAGTGAGCAGCAGATAACCCAAAGACCCTCATTATACAGACAAACTGTTTCATCTCACAGGTCATTTCTCTTTATTTAAATTGTATAGATTTGCTTGCTACACTTTAGCAGGAAGGGACAGAATGTATGCAATCACAATTTAAAACATATAAAATCTTCACACATGTACTCGTGCATAAAAAGTAAAGGGGTGTTCAGTGCAAAGCAAACATACAGCAAGGCAGGAGTGATCAGAAAGTGCCTTTCATTGATCAAGCAGGTTCTCTCTCTCTCAGCCCAGCACTAATCACATGTGAGTTTGCGGCTCTTTGAATGTGAGGAGGAGCTCTTTGCCATAACCACGATTAATATTTTATCACACAGCATTCATTGGGTGTCTGTCAAGGACTCTGGGATAGCATGAATTAAACGCAGGCCAGCTTGAATACTTGATGATGATCGAAGTGAGCTCTTGTGCTGGCATAATGCCTGCAGCCTGGGCCTCAAACAGCTTGGCAGCAGTTCCAATGGAAATCTGGAGCAAAAGACATAATATTTACAAATCTACCCGGCATAGTCTAGAGACTTCCCGGAGCTGGTGGTACCACAGCAGCGAGCTGGCTGCTACCGAGAAGGTTATTGAATTACTACATCGCATTCCTACCCTCTCTGACTTCCAGCCTGCCTCCCTACTCCTGCCTTATCTTTCTCAGATTTTTTTTACACTTTCAACCATTTTACACATCAAATTTTACACCTGTGTTTTTCAGGTGACAGGCATGAATTAAAGACTGACACTGTCCTTTTGTTATTCAGTTAAGCTCTGGTTTATTCCCACTACACAGTCTTAAAAATACTTTCAATTTTAAAGTAATATTTTCTTAAGTTTTAAGTGCTCTACTAATTGTGAAACAGGCTCTGGGTGCTTTGGAGAAGTAGATGACCTTCAGCTCAACACTGTTCATTCTGTAAACACAGACAGAGAAAATTTGGAGGTAATATTCATCTTTCAATGGCTTATTTCCATTGTTTTTATTTTTCAAAGTATTTCAACCTTGAAAAGTTTAAAAAGTCCATATTTAAAGAGGAGTTGTGTTCCAATACCAGCCTTTTTACAGGCATTTGTGCTTGTACAAATTAATACGCAGAGCTGGTACCAATACAATATGATCAAATWTGTTACAGATTTTCAAGAAAATCTTTTTTATATATAAATTTTGCCGCACAATACAGTATATCATGCTAAACAACCTCTCCACGGACACTTGGCTCAACACAGGTGAGCCAGCTCTTCAGGTCGAGACTCAGCTGTCCACCTACATCTCAAAGATAGGGGACACTCTTTTGAGGACTAAAACCTTTTTTGGACAAATCATKCTGTATGTTTGATTTGATCCAGTCAGGGGGACTGTAGACCTGTAAGGAAGGAGAGACACCTTGTTCTGAATAAAAGAGATCTGTTTTAAAATCAGTGTAAGGTTTAAGTTTTAACTCAGTAAGTACTGTATGTTGGTGAGTATACAGTAATACTCGGTTTGAGAGGAACTGGTATCCAGACACCCTTAGCCATACTGTATATCAGCACTACATTATATATATATATTTTTAGACTCAAAAGAAAGGGTAAATAATGTTATAAATGCTGTCAAAATACAGTAAGACTTTTTCAACACAACATCTTTGCAGCTGTAGGATTTCAGTGTGATTAAAGCAGTTTTTGCATTTAGGTGATTTTTGCCAACCTGATCTGGARTAGTATTTAAAGCAGCAAATGTTTTTAATCCCAAAGAGACTCATTTCACAAAATGTTGCACTTTTTATTTTTATTTTAGAAAAATGTTTTTGAACCAATATGTATCTGGAGCCACTGATTAAACAGAAGTCATGAACACAAACAGAAGCACACACGAGTCCCCCTCCTTACTACTCACCTGGAGCACGTATCCTCGTATGTAGTCCTGCAGAGTCCAGTCGAGTGCGTTTAGAATCTGGATGACCTCCTCCTGCTTGAGGACAGAGAAAAGACGGTCTAGGAGGATTTTCAGGCGGATCGGGATGGCTTGGGTGCCGTACAGCATCAGGCTGCAGATGTCGAACACTACATTGGAGTGCACAATCTCCACCTGGCTGCTCTGGAACATGTGGTGCACCTTCAGCTTGCTCAGGGCTAGAATAAATGTGCCAAATTTGACTGGATTAAATTAAATATTTCTGCTTGAAGCACAAGAAATGACAGAACAAGAAGAAATAAAAGTATGTTTTGAAGATGAAAGGCATAGAAAGGTGCTTAAAAAAGGGTTGAAATACAATTTACACTGGAGGCAATACAAAAAAAGGTGAATGAAAAGGACAAAACTAAAACAGTTAAAAAAAACATTTTAATTGTGTAAAATAAAAAAATGATTAATTCGTATTCAGCTGCTGAAAGCAGGTAGTTATAATTTATTTACAAAAAATGTTGAAGTGAATTTTATGATAAAACTACATGATATACCAACAGTTTATAATTTTAATGAGATATCAAAGTATATCAGAAAAGTTAACAGAGTCAAAGATGAACACAGATCAAACTATAGTACAGCTTTGTGTTCAAAGACGTTTCTATACGCTGCTGAAATGTTGGGTGGACTTTTGTTTACGACAAGGTGGAATCCTTTTAACAGCTGAGGTTAGATTTGACTACTTTCAGAACCTGGTAAAAACAGGTCATTTTTGTAACGCCAATCCTGGGAACTGAGAGTAGATGGATGCTGTTTTTTCRTTTTATTTAGTTTTTGATCACATAGTTCATTATTTTCAATCATCTCAAACAGAAGAAATTGAATTTCTGTAATAAATACATCTCTTTTGCTTCTTCTCAAAGTGCCAGATTGTGTGTCCTTGTGTSTTTGTTTGTCTTTTTGTTTGTCTGTTAGCAAAATATCTGATGAACCAGTGAACATATTGCAATGTAGCTCTCAGAAAATATAATAATTGGGTGCATGTACATTTTGAAACTTAAGTAATTAATCAACCTGTAGACACAAAGGTGACTAAAACTCAGCCATGACTTATTGGCCTCAATTTGATGTGGTAGTAGCTGAGATTCGTAACAAACACTTTCTAGGGACCTTAATAGTTTAAAAATGTGGCATGCAAAGCAGAGGATGACATGTTTGTTCAGGGAATGCTACTTTTTAAGTTAAGTTTTAAAGTAAGATGTGTTTATTTAGTGCACAGGGTATGTTTCAATAATGAGTCCAAGCTATTTCCACACSAAGTTTTACCTCAACATCTGAAAAAAATCCTGAGTTATTGTCACTTCTGTGTTTACTAAAKTTGATTGGTTTATGTGGCCAAGTAATAATGTATAGATGTGTTTTWAAAAATTATTTTCTGAGAGTTTCATTAAAATCCTTCCACTGATTCACTCAATATTTTGCCAACAAGCACAGAGACATTGGTTTGATTGCTTTCATGGTGACGGCTGATAAAACTGTATTTAGTTGTTTCAGTGTTCAGTCGAAATAATGAACCCATCAGTGATATGCTGTAATATTGTCTTGTTTAAATAAAGCTTYTATGGAGCTAACATTTCTTAAAAGCCATCTGCAATACTTTGTACTGTCTTCTCAGTACTTTTCCATCAGGTAAATGTTTTTTGAAAACGTACTGTAACTCAAAATATCTAGCCCATAATTTTGATGCGCTGKTACAATTCACTGCAGGTATAGACTGTTTTATATTTCGCAGCAGCAGTGTCCAAATCACACAAGTCAAAAAGCACACTAAGAAAAGAAGACTGAAGTGAACAATCCAAACATTTCTAGTCAATGTGGAAACATTTAATCAAGTTCTYACCGTGTGCCACCCAGCCATGCTTGCAGTTTTCACACTGCCTCCTCTTCAGCTTCCCAGGTTTGAAGCAGTCACAGTTACAGTTCACCAAAGTGCAGCAGATAGCCTGAAAAATAAATAAATTATAATGACATCAATGAAAAAAAAAGAGTGGAACAGGTCAAATCAGTTTTTAACGTTTAAAATTAAAATAGCTCCATTGAGTGATCTCTTTAAGTTTGTTCTGTCTGGAAAAAAAAAAATTAAAATAAAAAAGTAGGGCTGTGAAATTAATCAAGTTAACTCTGATTAATTTCACTGCTGCATGGGCATAGATTAAAATTTTTAATCCCGATTAAAATTTACAATCACTTTACTATGGCTGAATATGCAGGTTTGTATATTGTAATGCACTCAGTGCATGCCAGGTCATGTTTGTAAATGAGAGGTGGTTCTCAAACAGCTTACCTGGATAAATAAAGGTTAAATAAAAATATTTAAAAACTCCATTGTAACACATTATGTACAATTGTTTTTTTTTCTTTTTGTCTTCTTATGGCTCATTTTATT